CCATCTAACTTATTATGTGTGTACCTTCCAGATCAACTGGGTAAATCAGTGGATTTTTGTTGGATATCTGCTCAGTGCTTCATGCTGGGGAATGGAATGGAATATAAAGGAAGTAGGAAGAGCAGGCTTAAGCAATTAGCTGCCATTCAGAATATTAATTTATATTTTGTATTCATAGCATAGGCACAACAAACTTCAATGAACTATGATTGTATAAGAAATTATAATCTAAAATTATAAAAATATTTTGTGTGTTTTTATTATAGGTTGTACATGACTATACATTGAACTTTTTTTTTTTTTTTGAGACAAGGTTTTGCTATGCAGTTTAGGCTGGCCTTGAACTCAATTTTGTAGCCTACTCTTGCCTTGAACTTGCAGTGACCCTCTTGCCTCAGCCTCCCGAGTGCTGGGATTATAGGCCTGTACCACCATGCCTGGCTGCATTACACTTTCTTATAGCTGTATGTTATATAGAGTAGTTCAGGTGACCCCATTGCCCACAGAGGATAGGTTCCAAGATCTATAATAGATGCTTGAAAACAACTAGTTCCAAATCCTAGATACTGTTTTTTTTTCCCTATATACTAGGAATGTTTAAATTTTTTTTATTTATTATAGAAAAAGACACATCGCCATTAATCCCACTCAAAACCCCTTCACTTCAAACACAGTTACCTGTCATTCTTGCCACTTTCTAAAGCAGTTCTGGAAGTCCTTTCTGTGAGTGTCTTTAGTTATGCTGTCATGGCTGCCTTGATGTCCTGAATCAATTCAAAATGTTTACCTTTCAGGGTCATTTTGACTTTGGGGAAGATCTAGAATTCACATGGTGCCAAATCCAGTGAATCAGGTGGATAAGGACACTTTTCACAAGCCTGCTTTTTTCTGTTGGGTGGTATTCAGTAGTAGATTTCATTGTATTTTTGATGACACCTTGTAAAGATGCTTACAAAAGAGGACTTTCAGAACTGTTCCAGTAGTGGCAAGAATGGGATATGTTGGTCTGTGTTCTTTACTGTAATACAATTTTTAAATGTAAACATTCACCATATATTTTGATCATAATTAGTATAGTTTAATTTATAAATTAAAAACAGTACAAGATTAACAATAATTAGTTATAAAATGGAATAATTATATCGATATGCTAATAAACATTATATAAATATGATCTCTCTCAAAATGTCTTAATGTACTTTCATCTTTTTATCTTTTTATTTGAAGGAAGTACTTTGTGGTTTCTCTTTGACATATCCGAATTGCTAGCATCACTGCCCTTGTGCCTTGGGGCCATTTTAAGTAGAATGAAGGTTGCTTAGACACAAACACTTCAATGCTGCAAGACTTATTCAATAACCAAGACAGCTACTAAGCTAGTAAATGGGCAGGTAGCATATGCTAGACAAAGGGATGACTCACTTCCTAGGTGTGACACAGTAGTAAGGTACAGGATTTCTTACCGTGATACTCAGAACTATGTGCAATTTCGAATGTAAATCGTTTGTTTCTGTAATTGTCTGCTTAATATTTTCAGATTATGGTTGACTTCAGGTAACTGAAGGTAGAAAGTGAAGCTGCGGATAAACAGTGGGTACTCTGTGTAACGTGGGTAACAATGTGTACTATGTTTTGTGAGCACCTTAAGGGGTTTTCAGGAGCTTTTGACTGTCCACTGTATGTGACTTACATACTGACTTTAGAATCAAGTCCTGTTTAATGTGTGACTCCACATTAGACAGAGTAGCACATCAAGACAGGCTGAGCAACTCTGAGACCCTGTCTTAAAGTAAAATTAAAAGGGCTGCAGATGTAGCTCAGTGGTAGAGTATTTGCCTTGCATGCAGGAGGTTATGGCTTTAATCTCCAGTACTGAGAGAAATAAAATAGACTGTCACAGTAAATATGATCAAGAACTACTAAAAAAAATAAAATAAATATAAAAAAAGAACTACTCTGTGTGTGTGTGAGAGACAGAGACAGAAACAGAGAGAGGTGTTTAGGTATAAACAATGAATGCTATAGGTTTTAATAATTTAATGATACTAATCATTTAGTTGCTACCTACAATCTGCTACACCTACATGTACTGTTCTTTCTATCCTCATAACAACCCCCTAAGTGAGGTATCATATTATTTTAACACAAAGATGGAGAAAGAGGCCACGCTGGGATTCAGTCCCAAGTGTATCCAGCTGCCCACTTCCTGCTATTTGCACTGCATTTTGCAGTAAGGCTTGGGTAGGCTTCATAAAGAAGATGGACTCAAGATGGGCCTCCAGGGCTGAGGAGGCGTGGGCGAGATGGGGGGGTTGGTGGAGCCAAGGCTCTGGTTGGAAGGAGGCAGAGGGACCTGGGGTGGTCTGGTGGCTGGGCATTGCCCACATGGCCCCTAGAGTCATTCTTCGGTCAGTGAAGATGTGAACCACAACAAAACAGCGCTCAGTTTCGAGCAGCAGATGAACCAGTTTTGGGTAGGTGTGGAGCTGAATGGCTTTCTGGGGCTCTGAATTTCTCCCTCTGACAAGAGCTTGCCTTTTCCCCTAGGGGAAGTGAAACTGATTTGAGATGATACCCTGTGGTAAAATTAGATATCTGAGACAGAAGTGGCAGAAGTTAGTCATCTTAATAGAGAAGAGATGTGGAAGGGCACATGGTTACTATACTCAGAACAAGACTATAGAATAATGTGACACTTCAGTCACTCAGAAGGTGTTTCCCGAAGCACTGCTGGATGACAGTGGGCCTAGAAGGCCCTTAGCAGTTGCAGTAGCAGATGCTAAGTCCTTGTATAAAAGCCTAGGCCCTTCACTCATAGGGGAACTTACAGGCTTGCCGACACACACTTGTTCTTTTTTGAACACTCTTCTGTGAGGCCTGGTTGTCTGCTTTTCCAGTCCTTGGCACAAATAATATACTTGAAGAACATAAGACTGCTTGAGACTGGCTACACGCTGTCAGGCAAGTGACACCTGATGGCCTAATGTCATAGGGGACAAAGGAATGAAACAGCTCGCCTGTAATCCCAGTACTTGGGAAGCTGAGGCAGGAGGATCATTTGCAAGTTTGAGACCAAGTTGAGCTACAAAGTGAGCTCAAGGCCAGCCTGAACTGCATAGTGAGATCCTGTCTCAAAAAGACAAAAAAAAAAAAAAAAAAAAGCATGAAAAAGCTAATGTACAGTGACTAAAGGTTCCTGGCCTCCTTCATTACAGACACATCACAGATTCTGGGTCAGCTGCAGTGCCTAGGAATGGGCTGGTGCTTCTGAGAGTCTTTTGGCATTGATGGGGCAGAAGCCAGATTGTTGTAGCCAGGCTGGAAAGTCAGGAGTCATCTCAGTAGGGACAGTATGACTTGCATTACAGGATGGGGTGGCAATGGATTGTCACCGGGGAAGTTGAGTTTGAGATCTTTGAGATGAAGTCAGAATGTTTTATTTAAGAAAGCAGACTTACTAGGCATGGTGATGCATACCTGTAATCCCAACATATTGAGTTTGCCTTGGGTTGCATAGTGAGTTCAAGGCCAGCATGAACTGCATAGCAAGACCCTACCCCCAAATCTTCCCCCCCAAAAAAAAGAAAAGAAAAGAAAGAATAAGTAGAGAGTATAAAACTATGATCATAAATAATAATGGAAGGCTGGGCATGGTGGCTCACCCCTGTACTCCCAGCACTGAGGAGGCTGAGGCAGGAGGATCAGTGTGCGAGTTTGAGACCAGCCTGGACTACAAAGTGAGCTAGAGGCCAGCTTGAATTGCATGGTGAGACCCTATCTCAAAAACAAACACACAAAAATAGTAATAATGGAATTTAGAAAGCTATTTAAAGTAGACAATATTTTGCCCCTTAGGCAAAATTAGGTGGGCCATGAGTTACCTGAAAATTTTGTCTAAGGTGCCCCCTTCCATGATCTAGAATAGACAATACTAATTAAAATTTACTGAAAGCTAACGTGCCAAACGACATTTTCAGAGCTTTATAACCACTAATTCTTTTATCCTTTAGCTAGAGCCAATCCTGTGTGAAAGATGTGATTAGTTTCCCCATTTTACAGATGAAGAAATGGACTAGAGGCTAAATTATGTAGTTTTATGAGGAAGAACCGTGGTTGAACCAGGTGGTCTGGCTCTCAAGATCTCACCCTTAGTGTGGTACACTCAGAATAACTCTTTGTAAGCTTTGGGTCTTAGACTTAATGTGTAGCAGAATCACCTTGAAGCCTGGTTTAAACACAGATGCTGAGTCCCTCCTGGAGATCTTGGCTCAGCAGATCTGGGCTGAGGCCCTGGGTTTGCATTTTTAAGGTCTTTAGGTGATGCTGATACTGCTGATGTGGTGGCTACACTTTGATAACGAAAGCTGTTTTATAGCAATTCTGAATTTGCTTCATATTGATTAAGAGTCAGTGTAGACATAATCATCCCATGGAAATGTGAGTAACCTGCCTATGGTCATGCAGCTAAGTCATTCATTCATTCACTGACTTCATATGAGTGGTCACATCTGTACTAGGCCTTATGTGAACCTCAGATTCAAGCAATTCTCACCCTTGACTGCAAATAAGAATCACCTGGAGAGTTTTTTAAGCGCCCAATGCCCAGGCCTCCCTTTCCTACCAATCAGAAATTGTGAGGGGGTGGGGGAAAGGTGGGATCCAGGCATCAATATTTTTAAACTCTTTCAGGGGTCTTCAAATAAGCAGTTGCATTTGATACCACTGTCCTAAGAAGGCCCAGGGAATGCAGAAAGTTAAGATGCTGCACATACCCGAGAGAAACCAAATGACCTCCTTGGAAAGATGTAACACTCCCTAGAAAGCAGAGGCAAATGCATCGCGTCGTGTCCTAATAACCTGTGTGTGATAGTGTGAGTAGGTAACGCTACAGTGTCTGGTAGCAAGAGGAGAGAGCTGGGCTCTTAGGCAGTGCTTTCCAGTATCTGCCTTGATAGAGTTATTTCCAAAAGATGAAAAATATTAACAAAAGATGAGAAATATAAAATAAAAAGCGGCCTTTATTCTGAGAACACGGAGAGAGATGACCGGCAACCCCACCGCTGGCGTCCGGCGATCTCTCCGGCGGACACGCGGCGTGGGGGCCTGTAAATAACCTCGGTTTGGGGTGGAACCTAAGGCGGGCATTAGGGATACATAGGTAGCCCATTGGTCCTAGGTTTGGTGCCATATGTAAATTCCCAGGGGCGGGAAGATGGCGTCACAGGTAACTTCCTAGGGGCAGGGCAAGATGGGGCTTCCTGCTTCCGGTTGTGGCTTTCCTGGCTACAGTGTCCTGCCTGGGCCAAAACCTTTCATATCCCGTCTTATGGTTATTATTATGAAAAGGGGCAAAGATTTCTCTCTTTAACTACTTCCTGCTGGCAAAGGGCGCTGTACTGGAGCCTAGGGGAGTCGACGGGATGAAGGTTGATGCCCAGGTAGACGCTGGTACCAGGTGTTCTGGCCAGGACAGCTTCACTAGTGAATGCACGTATGTCAGACTGGAAAAACAAAGAGACAAGATGTTATCAGGAGACATGGCACTGTCATATTTAAGGACCCAGGTGAAGTAGAAGGAAAGGTGCCTTTGATTTAGACATATCATTCTATCAGGACCATGTTGAGGTAGAAACATTTCCACGGTGAGGCAGAATTCTGAAAATTAAACATGGGGTTAGGAGGAGTGGAGTTATGAGAGGTGATTACTCCCCCATCTGAAAGCATAAAAGTTAAGACGGTAGGTTGATGAGGCTTGTCTCTGGTATGCATGATGTTGGAGTCTGTAGGCAATACTGTTAAAGAGTCCTGCTGTAAAAATGATCATTAATAAAATGTAAGAAATTAGGAACCAAAGTGGATAACAAAACATGACTTAGCCTGTTAACTGTGGCTGCAAGGCCTTCGTGAAACGGAGATTGGGTAGGCGACAGAAGATGAGATGACCACTCAGAATGATCAGATTTAGGGCTGGGAGGGCACCTCTTAGCCTGGGCGATGTGAAACTAGGATGGGAGTCCAGCAACTTTGATTTAGGCATGGGTCGCTGCAACCTGGTTGTAGTCCTTGGAATGATTTGCTGTAACAGAACTTTAGCAAGTATGAGAAAGGCTTTTATGTATCCTGAAAAAGTATAAACCAAGTGAGAAGACTGGGACCTGCACAAAATAGGCCCTGTTTGTAAATGGCATAGGTTGACCATCAATACCCCCAGAGATTGAGGACTTAATATAGCAGCCTGAATACTCAGGAAGACCTCTGTATATATGGCCTCTATGTCCACAAATATAGAGAATGTCTTACCTGAGACTTTAGTGCAACTTGGAATCTGAGACGGACACCTTAAAGGGGGCTGTTGTTGCCCTGAACTTCCTCAGTCTTCAGCAGCAATTTTCTGTCGGTGACGAACCGCAGTGTCGACATTTCCTATGAGGGCTAGAACTTAGGATGGCTTACCCACTCTCTGGTGGCTAGGACAGTCCAGCGGCCCTGGAGTAAGGTCTCAAAGAATGCCAGGAAGAGGCATTTTCTTGCCCAATGTCTTCTGCTGCATTTGAGCGTGGTCTATGGAGGGGGCAGGCAGCTCCACCTTGTGTAGGTTTACCTGTCTCAGAACTCCAAGTGTCACAAGTGTTAAAAATATGAAAAACCATATTAAGATCTCTCTAAGGTTTGAAGGTCAAGTTTTGCCTTTTTGTTTGGGATTTGGACTACAGTAGAATTAAGTAAGTATGCAGGAATTTAATATTGGCATTTTAGATTAGAAAGCAGGCTTTATCTGGATGGCATATTGCTTTTTCTAGGATGCCCCGTGGAATTAACAAAAAAGGCTTTAGTCTGCCCTCCCCCTTTTGGAGTATAATCTCATTTTAATGGAAACATTTTGCAGTAAAGGGTTAGCAATCTTATGAATAAATCTATCAAAACTGATCTAATACTGTCAAATTCTGAACACATTTACTTTTAAAGTTGTTATTTGCAGTAGTATGGACCAAGACAAATAAACTTTGAAGAAAACCGTTGTCTTGAAATAGAGCTAGTGGTTCCCAGCAAAAAGGAATTTATAACCTTAGTTGTTAAACAGGAGATTGGTGAAGGCATTGATTGATAAACAAGGTAAAATTATCAGGTGGCCAATAACCTTGATTAAATGGTTTGAGAATTGTAATAAAAAAGCATCTTTTGAGCGGAGCCAAATTGTAAAAAAGCATGCCTGAGCAGAGCCGCTGAGCTGCTGTTTCACGGCGCTCCGGCAGAGCACACCCAGTGGGTGGGGCAAGCGCTGGGATGTAGCGCGCAGGGGCGGGCTCGGACTGCCCCCGGAAACGTGTAAGGTGGCAGCGGCGACGATGACGGCGCACAGGGGAGGGAGGGACTGGGACGGCGCATGGGGGAGGGGCTGGGAGGCGGCCCGACACAGTGCACAAAGCTGGAACTGCTTGCAGGGCTCGAGGATTAGAAAGCCAATTTAGGAACACAGCTGGGTTTTGATTAGCTTCCTGGACCTGTTTTAAAAATTTGTTATAGTTAGTATGCTTGTCCTGCTCTGGCACAGCTATAGGCCCAGAGTCATTATAAACGTCCTTAAAATGTAAATCATAATTAGTAATAAATTTAAATTGCCTGATATAATTCTGTGGGTCAACAGAGAGGCTACCTAATTTAAGGGTAATCTGGGATAGATCAGAAAGGGAAAAAGGCACATGGATGTTAACAAGTTCCTTGGGGCCAACTTGCTCCCGAAGCGGTAGCAGAGCCTGAGGAGGTTCTGGAGCAGAGGGCTTTTGAGCAGCCATCCTTCCGATAGGCGCATATGAGCAATCATCTGTAGAGCGGCTACAGAGCTGCTGCCGGTCACCCTGGGAAACACGAGCAGATGGCATCTCACTGTGTGCCTTGCAGCTAGAGGACTGCTGTCGGCAGCACAATGAAGCGTCATGTGCACTGCAACAGGGCGGCTGTTGTAGTTCACAAGAGGAGCCACAAGGAGACGCCTGTTGACAGTAAGGGTCCTGGAAACATGGCGGCGCCCTGTCACGTGGCCCGAAACATGGCGGCGCCCTGTCGCCATGTGGCCCTCCGGAACATGGCGGCGCCATGCCATGTGGCAGAGGGTTGCAACATGGCGACTGTTCCCCGCGCAAGCTGGAACAATCACGCGACCTGCTGGAAGGACATAGCAACCAAGACCTAGTATGGTGGGCGGGCGGTGAGAATGCTGTAGGGGATACAGAATTCTCAGGAGAAGTCAGAGACTGAGAGGAAGCACTAACAGAGGGTTCAGAGCCGCTGGGAGAGTTATGGGTCCCAGGAGAAGGCGGGGGAGAGGATGGAACATCGGGAGGTAACTGCGACACAGAGGGATTAGAGCTGCTGGGAGAGTTATGGGTCCTGGAAGGCGGAGAGGGAGACGATCGTACAGTGGGAGGTATCTGCAATGGAGAGGGATTAGAGCTGCTGAGAGAATCAGGCATAGGGGGAGGAGAGAGCAGTCCGGCGGGAGACAACGGCAGGGAACGAGTTTGGTGGTAGGCAGGCGGCGGCTGGGAAAACAACGGAGAGCAGGACGGAAAAGTTTGCGGCGCAGTAGACTTAGCTAAAAGTATCTCAGCTGGAGCACAAGACTTAATGAGAGATGGGCGTGTTCTCAGAATAAGAAAGGCTTGGACATAAGGGAGTTCTAATAACTTGTTGCCAGCTTGACAAAAATCATACAAGTTCCTGAGAATGCAGGGGTCAAATGTTCCTTGCTGAGGCCAAGGCTTGCCGATAAGCGGGTAGGTTGGCCAGACCTCCTGGCAGTAAAAAGTTAGTTGTTTAGTTTTTATGGTACCTTTAATTTTTAGAGTACGTAAATTAGAAATTAGGCATCGTAAAGGCGTCTTTTGGGAGTTAGAAAATACGTTCCCCATGACTGATTCAGGCAAGAAAAAAAACCGGAGGTCCAGAAAAAAGTCGTCACTTATTTGTGGTACCACGCGGCGGCTACGGGGTTCCAAACCGTAAACTCCAGTCGTCACTGAGAGATTTACGAATGGAGTCTACGTGGGGTCAGTAACACTTTTGCCCGTGAAAGCGCAAGGCTTTAAGGGAAGTGAGGGTCTTTCAGTGTGGGCGGTCCCAAAAATCTCTGCTTTGGGCTATCCGAACCCAAAGAACGTGAGAGATTTCGTGGGCGCAGGTTTGCCCAGAAAGAACCCTGCCCTGGGCGGTCCTAAGGACGTGAAAATGCACAGACCCACGCAGACGGGGAGAACATTCCACTGGGGCTGCCCAGTGCGAAAAGTTCCCCGGGGAGTGCTCACCTGAAATCAGTCTGGCCGATGCGGAGTGCAGGCGGCTGGCGACAGGAACGTCTCGGGAGAGGAAAAAGCTCGGGATTAATCCAGGATGTTATCTGGTTATCGGCTAGAAGACTTTGGGTATGTGGCCCAACAGTCAGTTGCCTGCCGATAGAGTCACGGCACCAAATGATAGAGTTATTTCCAAAAGATGAAAAATATTAACAAAAGATGAGAAATATAAAATAAAAAGCGGCCTTTATTCTGAGAACACGGAGAGAGATGACCGGCAACCCCCACCGCTGGCGTCCGGCGATCTTTCCGGCGGACACGCGGCGTGGGGGCCTGTAAATAACCTCGGTTTGGGGTGGAACCTAAGGCGGGCATTAGGGATACATAGGTAGCCCATTGGTCCTAGGTTTGGTGCCATATGTAAATTCCCAGGGGCGGGAAGATGGCATCACAGGTAACTTCCTAGGGGCAGGGCAAGATGGGGCTTCCTGCTTCCGGTTGTGGCTTTCCTGGCTACAGTGTCCTGCCTGGGCCAAAACCTTTCATGCCTAAAGAAAGTAATACTCATTGCAAGGTTAGGAGTAGCTCTGCCTTAACGCCCGACCTTTTTCTTCCTTAGTTTTTTCCCCTGAAGAGGAGAAGGGAGGCAATAATTATCTCCCCCCACCTTTTTTTTTCTGCAGAACTGACAACTTCTGAGACTTGTAGATCCTGTATGTTCCATCCTGCTCCCAAGTCTCCTTCCAGCCCCACACCCCTCAGGACCTCAGACCTGATCCAGGTCCCCGGTGGTGCTAAAGGGGGGCCAGGCCAGATTTCTCTTGAGGAGCACTGGTTCTTCACTCCAAACTGTCACTTATTGTCAGACACCCACAGTTTCCTCTGTCTACAAGGCTTAAGTCCCACCTACCCCGCCCCACCCACCCCACCTTCCTCTGTGCCTGCGCAGCCTCTGGCTGCTATGTGTGGGCGAGGGGTTTAGACAGAGAAAAATCGATTCTCTGCATGTCCCCGCAGATTTATTAAGTAAGGTGGTGACAGTGGGCTCCAGGCCGATCTTGTGGTCTCTGCTCCTGTTGGACCTCAGAGGCTGCTGTGTGTTGTATCGGTTATGACGTTAGTCTTGGCCTCTGCTGCAGTGTGATTAGAAGGCAGTGGTAGCCTATGATTTGTGTGTTCTGAAGAACACTCTGCTGTGATTGAACGTTCATGCATGCTTGCTGGCATGTGCGTGTGTTTGGTTTGATCTTGGCCTGTGGTGCGAGGGGATACAGGTCTCAAATTCCTCTGCTATTTTTAGGGGCCATATCAGCTCAGCTGTCCAGGAGTATGGGTGTGTGTCAGAAAGAAAGTGCCACCCTCCCTGTCCCTTGCCTCTTAACTCTCCAGCACTGCCTGCCCCTCATTACTTGCCCTCTTTCTACAAGTCTCCTCCTTCCCTGCCACATTCCTTGTCTCTCCACATACCTGGTACCCGCAGTCTTCAGGGCTCAGCTCTCCACTGGAGCGGCCAGGGTTGGGCAGCTGCGTTGGGAGGGGCCTGAGGAGAGGGAGGGGACGGGGCGGTGCTGCAGCCCGTGCTATTTTGAGCTGCTAACGGAGCAGCTGCAAAAGAAGACGCCTTGCTCTGGGCTGCTCCAGGCCAGGCCATGCGGGTGAGTGTTCCTCTGACCCCCCACACACCCCGGAAATGTCCCAGGGTTTTTCTAGTGTGTCCTCATTTAAGAAAGGAGGGGCCTTTGTTGTTTCCCTAGATGTGACTAAAGTAGGTGGGGAGGAAGGGGTGGGGCACCTGGGGCTCCTTTTAGTAGGAAGGGCATTGCTCAGCCCTGGCAGCCTCAAAACCCCTCAGAGGGAAGCGACATCTTGAGCCTGACTTTCGAGTTTAGAGGTTTGAAGTGGGCACTGTCTTCTAAACCTCGGGTCCTGGGACTGCATCTGCCACTCATAAGCTGAGATATCCTTCCTCACAAGCCATTGGTGCTTTGGAATGTGGTTCCATAGAACCTGGGTTTCTTCCAAAGCCTGGGACCCCAGCACCCCTGGCCTTTGTAGGACTTGTTCCTGCTTTGGGTTGCCGGTGTAACCCTCTCCCCTACTTCCTCCTGGCCGACGGGAGGAAAAGGATGACCTTTGGCATTGACAGAGACCTTCCTCACTGTTCCCAAGGGGAGACCCAGTATAGCTTCTTCCATTCCTGTGGCCACAACATTTGGAAGGGGCAGAGAGAGGGCATCCCAGGGGCTCCCAACTGTCTGTAAGACTCCTTTTTAGCAGACATTACTCTAAAGTAGTAAGTTTCTTTAAAAAGCAAGTGAGGAGAGACATAGTGGCCTCCCAGTCTATTCCATCACCCCAGCCTCCAAGAGTAGGGTTTTCAGTTGAGTCAGCAGTTGGCAGAGTGTGTGGGTTGGCCTATATCAGAAGTCTAAGATGTGCCCGTGAACACATTTGTATCTCTGTGCCCAGGGACTGCCCTGCCTGCCTCCAAGCTGGCACCATTGTTGAGGTGTGTGTGAGCAAATTGGGGGTGGGGCCAGAGGGAGCACCTCACCCTGAGAGGTGGGGCTTCCTGGCCTTCCTCCCCACCCCATCCTGCTCCCTGGGCCACCAGGACAAGGACCCTTACAGAGTCAGGGCCATACATGATTATAGCCAAGCAGATGGCAGAGTGCCTCGCAGAGGGCAGTGCATGTCTCCAGGGAGGGGAGACCTCCAGCAGGCCTAGCCGTTGGAGGAGGAAGCCCTGGGCCTTCTGCAACTGCAGTGGCAGCAGGAAGCCATTCCAGTGCACCTGCTTCCTCTGGGCTGGCCAGCAGTGACCGAGGGCACTCTGCTGCTTTCTGTTTTGCCTGGTGGGGGAGGATTTTGGTTGAAACGGGAACCAAAAAGGCCAGCGTGTCCCTGCCAAGCTCTTCTCCCCTCCTCTGACTGGCACCGTGGCCTTCGCATCATTCCCTGAAGACCTCCCCTTTCCCCTCCAACGGCTCAGGGTACAGTGTGCTCAGGTCATGGGTGGGGGGTGCACTGTCTGTGGAAACTCTTTCTACCCACATTATTGTTCTGGCAACTGATGTGTGAAAGACCCCATGTAGGTGAACAAAGGAGACTGGGGTAGACTGACCTCCTTCCCTTAGAGTGAGAGTACCAGATCTGCCCCTTGCTGCCATGAGGCCTTGGGAAAGTCACTTGATCTTCTAAACCTTCTGTTACTCATTTATAAAGTAGGACCCATAGTGGTGTCTGTTTCAGAGGTGTATTGTGAAAATCAATGGGATAATGCATATTATGATTCAGCACAGTGCCTGGTACATAGTAAATGTACAATAAACATGAACCGTTGGAGATAGGGGGTTAGTTCAGTGATACAATTTTTTTTTTTTTTTTTTTTTGAGACAGGGTCTCACTATGTAGCTCGGGCTGGCCTTGAATTCACTCTGTAGCCAAGGCTGGCCTCAAACTCACAGCAGCACTGCTGCCTCAGCCTCTCAAGTGCTAGGATCACAGGCGTGCACCACCATGCCCACCTCAGTGGTACAATTCTTTTTTGGATTTATTTTTTTTAAAAACAAGGTCTCCCTATGTAGTACAGGCTGCAAGCTGGCCTTTAACTCACTTATGTAGCCCAGGCTGGTCTCAAACTCGTGGTGATCTTCCTGCCTCAGCTTCCCTCATACTGGGATCACAGATGTGTGCCATCAATGCCCAGGTGGTGGTACAATTCTTACTGCCATACTCGTGGCCCTGGCTTCAGTCTCTAGCACTACAAAACAAATAACCCTGTTATTGTTAGTATTTCCATTACTACTTCTCCTCTCCTTTATTCCTTTCCCCACTATATTCCTTAAATAAATTAGTACCGTATTAGGTTGGACCTGACAGGAAAGGGGTCTCCCAAGAGCTGCTTTTAAGGCCTCAGAATCAAAATAGAGAATCTTCTGCGTCTCTCCTCTCAGTGAAAAGGCCCGAGTGTTGCCTTTATTGGCAAAGGGGAAAGCCTGAGAAGTCCTGGCCACAGGTGACATCTTGGTTCTAATCACTCTTAGGAGGCATGCAGCTTCCAGATGTCTGGTTTAGACTCTTGGGGTGTCAATGTATGTGGGCTGGGATGGAACTGAAGGGCTGCCCAGTGGGCTGAATTAAATTCTCCAGGGGATATTTGTGTCCCTGGTTCCCGTGGGAGGCACAGATGATGGTACCTTAGAGGAGGGTGGTTGGTGCTGATGCCACCATCCTGGCCCTGCGCCTTGAGTAACAGAAGCCTTCCGGGTAGATAGGTGATCCATCAGCTCATTTCTTAGATTTCTCCTCTTTAAGAACAAATGCTTCTAGCTATTATCCCCTTTACTTTTTCGTTGACTATTTAGCCGTCTCTGCAATAAAAACAAGCAGTAAATAACAAATGCAAAACAAAATAAATACCAAGTTTCTCTATTGTGTCTAATTCACACCGTTTACAAGATTATTATGATCACCATTTATATACTATTTAGATTCTAGGTTTTTTTAATTGATATTGTTATATGTGGCATTTTCCATATGATTTCACTGTCCACATATTTGTCAGTTTAAATAGCAGTGTAGCAATATGTTAGACCAAAGCTCAGTAGTTTACCTAACCAATAGCTGATTCTATGCACTTTTCGTTGTTTCCCAATTTGGGACAGTTATATGGGATGTAGCTATAAATATGTTTGCATGGGTGTACAGGTTTCTTGATTTTTTTTTTAATTATTTTTTTTAATCGGTACCGGGGATCAAACTCACAACTGCCTGCTTGCAAGGCAGGTGCTTATGCCGCTGAGCTAAATCCCCAGCCTTGGGTTTCTTTATTTTTTTAAGCCAACTGATTGGATACACATTCCTGACGATTGAATGACTGGACCAAGGAATGGTACATTTTACAGCTATTACTGCTCCACAAAGAGCTACTAAGCAATTCAGAGTGGCCCTGCCCTCCCCTAACCCCATGACATTGAGTTTAAATTTAAATTTAAAGATTACCCCTCCTTTGGTTGTAGCACTCTTCTGGGGATCAGGATAGGCAAGTGTTTTTCTCTCTAGTTTATCCTAGGGAAAGAGACCAGCTAGGGTTGAGGTTTGGGCAAAGAACCCCTGTTCTAGCCTTATTGTGCAGCAAACGTTTGTTAAGTGCCTACAGTAGGATGGTAAGGTGGTCTTGCCTGTGAGGAAATCATAGCCTGGGAATGACATAATCACCTGTACAGCTCACCAGGGTCCATCCTGTTTGGCAATCCCTGCTCTGCCTTACTAGTTGTGGGGCTCTGGGCATCTTACCCTCTCCATTCCATATCTAGGGAATAAGGATTAAATGAGTGACGGTATGTAGTGCCTGCCCCTGTGCCTGGCTCACAGGGAGTGCTGATTTCTCTTCTAGAGGTCAGAGGCACCACCAAGGGAAGAGTTGGCCAGAGCCCCAGAGTGCCAGGGTCATGGTGAGGTCTCCCTTTGCAAGTCTAGAAACTCAGTTTGGAAAAGTTGGTCACTGGTGAAGCACCACACTGTCAGCCCATGCTTTGGCTCACCCTGGATTTCGTGGACCTCAATGCTAATGAAATGTATTTATCAGATTTGCCTACTAAGGGTAACTTGGCCTGTGGTGCTTGATTATCATATCAGAAAAGGTAGGCTGAAAAAAAAAGAGAAGAGGAGAGGAGAGGAGAGAAGAGGAGAGGAGAGGAGAAAGGAAAGGAAAGCGAAGGGAAGGGAAGGGAGGGAAAGGTGGGCTGTTAAGGAAGCAACACAGGCCTTGGAGTCAGACCAACTTACATTCAAATCCAAATTCACTGCTGACTAGCTTCACGGCAAAATACCTTTCCTACTCTTTTTCCTCATCAGTAAGGTAGGAATACTAATAATTTCCATGTCCTGGGGATGGTTGTAATATTTATATTAGAAAATCTATGGTAAATACCCTGTAGAGGGCCCATCTCATTGCAGGCATTCTATTGCTAATAATTAACGTTGTTGAAAACGGCTGAATTTCTAGAGGAGGAACAGGGTTGGGGAAGAGAGGCCTTGGCTCATGGTACCCTCTCTTCACAGAGCCATTCGTTCCCAGCTTCAGAGATTGTGACAGAGAAATTGCCACTACCTCTTAGGCCCAAATTCCTTGCCTGTTTTGCATTGGATAAAGGTAGTTCTTGATCTTGAGTAAAACTTAGTTAAAATCCAGAGACAAGGAAGAAAGGGAAGATAATGTGAGCAATGCTGTACAAAAGGCATGGGGAGTTTCCTCTGGGAGAAACCCACACTTGGGTTCAGAGAGATGCACAAAGCAATACCTGATGCAGAGGAGTGGCCAATATCAGTGGTCTGTGTCCTTCTGGGCTGGAGGGGACCTGCTTGGACAAGTAGGAAACCTTGAACAGGAGATCAACAGCAAGTGAGTTAATCCAGCAAGCCAACCTCAAGTCTCTGAAGTTACTACATAGTAA